GAGAGAGAGAGAGAGAGAGAGAGAGAGAGAGAGAGAGAGAGAGAGAGAGAGATATTGCATCGACCAGTTGCTGCCACCATAAATGAAGCAGCTGTCATATTTGTTTTTGCGAGCGAAGCCGCAACAGGTCATCTAGTATGCTTTGATTTTGGATCTGCTCATCTGGGTGGAATAGGGGCTGTTGTGGTGAAAATTCAAAACACAGGCACTCGGACGGTCACGCAAGCGTTCAGAACGGCGGCAAAAAACGCAGAAAAGCACAGGCTTCACGGTCTCGGATTTTGCAGGTTATTACAGAGCAGAAAAGTAAGAACACAGGAAAACACAGCAAGGTAAAAAAACGGTGTCTTCCTGTGGCAGCGCAACTTGCAGAATAAACATCACTAACTAAAGATTTGCTCATGAAAGAGGAAGCAAAGGGAAGAAAGAGAAAGTGAGTCTACTTCATCTACAATGTTATCTTGGATTTTGAACTCGTTTTAATATCCTGCATAGAAAATAGAAAGCAAGGAAGAAAAGTGTCCTTGAAATCACTGTTTTTGCCATGGAACCTTTGTTGTCCCTGTGCACAGGCAATGCGTTTGGAGGAATGGTCTCAAATAAAGCAGGAGCACACGGCTGCATTTGGTGGGGCTATCGAAGCATTGGAAGCAGCTATGCTTAGGGTACCTCTGGTAAACGGCGCTAAGGTAAGCGTCCTCTTGCAGAATAAACATCACTAACTAAAGAGTTGCTAATGAAAGAGGAGGCAAAGGGAAGAAAGAGAAAGTGAGTCTAGTTAATGCTTTGGCTATTTAAGATTCCTCTATTGTGCAAATGGTTCTATGGCAGTGTGTGCATACATTGTGGTACTGGTTGAAAAACGTTTTTTTCACATGCGTGAGTCGATATTGGGTGCATGCAATGGCATGAAGATTTGAAGCAGATCGTGCTGACAGCTGTAAGGTCCCAAAATGGCTTTTTCTCTTCATTTGTTATGATTCTGGAAATCTGACAGTGCAAAATTCGAAAAGAGATAGTGCTGTTCAATTGCAACTCAAATGAAAGAGATTGGAAAGAGAAATAGACAAAGGAAGAAGAAAAATGGAGAATGGAAGAAGCACATGAAGATGAACACTAGCTAGAACCAGTATCACTCCTTCCCCAATTCGCTACTATCTCTCTCCCCCATCATATCCCCCAACATCTTGTCCCTATACACTCCTAAAAGAATGTAGCGGTGCTCACGTGATGCCCTCACCGGGCCCCACAAAAAATCGTTGGCATGCAGAGCCGCACGGGGGCAGACGCACTATCCCGGTTCGTGCGAGTTTCTGCGGTGCAGGGGCGTCGTTTCATTTGGCACTTGGGTGGGGTGGGCTTTTTTTGCCGCGCCGTTTTGTTTGGTCGTTTCCCTTTTTTTTTTACAGTGTGGTGTGGCAGGTGGGCGCGGCACAAAGTTCATAGCACAACCGTTCAGCTGAGCAAGGCGCTGATCCTCTACTGGCGGTGTATCTTTCCATGTTCTAGCGGAAGAGTCATTCTCATTTTTCCTTAGTATTGTTTTCTTTTTTTTTTTTGTGCGTGTTTTTTATTTTTTTTTGATAGGGCCTCGCTCCACTTCTCCTTGCACGAGTTGTTTCTGCTTGCCTCGCTCCACTGCTCAGTGCATGCAAAAAAGACAAAAAATACGGCTGTGCATCTTTCCATGTTCTGCCAGAAGAGTGAGTTGCAGTGCAGCGCTGCCTCTCCTCGAATACTGGTGGCTGCGGTCCCCAGTGTCTTTTTGGCGGGAGCATCATTGCAGTCTGATGTCTTCCCTCGCAGACCCTAGACTTGGCTCTACCCAGGCTGGTACCTACCCCTAGACGTACTGGACCTCTAAATCTACTTCGGCCTACTCCAAAGCTACTACTTTTTTGTCCTTTTCTGCATACAGCCCACTTCTACTTTATTAGATACCGCGGCCAACTTTCCCCCTTCAAGCTGCCGACTGCACGAGTCCATGTTCGCAGCCCGTTAGGGGTGCGTTTTCCCCCCCTGACACATTCCCCTCCCAGAGATTTTCGTCGTCCTTCGTTATACCGCTCGTTGATTCGGGTTCGTTTGGTCGTTGGAAGGTTCAAAAAATGCAGGCCGGTGCAGGCACGACACGTTGGGGGGTGGTGGCAGTTTCTTTGAAAAATGAGGGACCCGTAGCTGCCCGTGGGACCGCGCGCTGGGTTTTGGTCGAAACGGTGGCAAAGCAGCGGCAGGATAGATCTTTGGGGGGTGGTGGCGGTTTCTTTGAAAAATGCGGGACCGGTAGCTGTGCAAGGAACCTGACTGAACTTCACTTGCTGGAGTGTACCAGGTAGCATGCATGTAATACAGATCACGCAGATTGTATTGGCTCACACGAAACTCATCGGAGAATGAGTGGTGACCAGAAAACACAACTCAATTATCGAACCAGATTGAAGAAAGAGAATCACGAGTTCAGAATAAATAGCACCCAACAGAATTACAAGTTCTCTTCATCCAACATGAGTTCCAAGCCTGGCGCTCATCAGCGCCATCGGCTGTTCATCCGGTACAGAGCTCAACAGGTAAGTTTCACCATAACTCGCTTCCCCCTCACTTCTCTCTCTCTCTGTGTCTATGCTTCTGGTCTACTCACACTCACCATGCATGCACACTCCCTAACACATGAGGATCTACTCTGAATACTACTCACTGGACTCTTCGACTAACTACCCTACTTAAGTACTAACTGGCGCTGGCGCAGCTATGGCTGCCTTCCTTCCAGCCTGCACCCTTCTTTTCTCTCTCTCACACTTAGGGCTGCTCACACACATCTAGCCAACAAGTGCCACGACACTTCCACACTCTCATGTGTAGTGAGCATCTGCCAAATGAGGAGGCTGGCCAGTTCTTTATAGCGCTGGACTGGACTGGCAAGGTCTGAACTCGGCCTCCAAGTGTCTGGGACTCCTGCCCAGTACCTGTTGTTGCAAAGTGTGTGTCCCAGTAGCCTTTCCCATGGTCTGCTGCTGCTTGGGCCATCGGGCCTGTCTTTTGGACTCCTGGTCTGAATCAGGATTGACCCATGGGACTGTGACTGGACTGGGACTGTGGCCTTTGACTTATTGCCGAACAGACACGACTTATCGTCAAGCAGACATGACCCTAACTCAGTCTTGAAATCTGTGTCCAATACCTGTTCGTCCAGGACCTGCTCGTGACTGTTCAAAACGGCTTTTCAGTTCATTATGGATGCGACATTTGTCTTTTGGAATGTTGTTCGTGAAATTGAGTTCAGGCCGAGGGGACCTTTTTCATGCAGAGGTCACATTTACGGGCCTGAATCGTAAAGGCCCTTTTACTCTCGCCGGCCTAATTTTGAAGTCCTTTGAGAAACTTTTTTCTGTCCACAACATTGACACGTTTTCTTGCTCTTTCATAGTAAGATACTATGTTTGGTGCGGTTTCCATTAGCTCTTCTCTACTGAACCAGCGGTCTTCACTTGGATCTTGATATGCAAATCTGACTTTATATTGCCGCTGAGGTCTACCTCTGCATCCAGTCTGGATAGTACTTTCAGCAACGATTTTATCAACATCAAATTTTCCATCCATACTCGGAGGAATTGCTGATCTACGACTGGGAAATAATTCGTTAGTTACACAAGGTAGGAGCTTTGACGCATGGAACACCGGATAGGTATGCAAGTGTGGAGGTATTTCAATAACATAGGAGGGTCCATCTACATCCCCTATCACACCCAATACTTGCCACGGTCCTCTGTAGGCAGGTAACAATTTCTGAGATATGTTCTCTTTTCGGATAAACTCTTTTGATTTTACCCAAACCAGATCGCCCACAGCAAAGTGAGAAGGTCTCCTGTGCTTATTGGCCTGCACAACCATTTGATGTTGTGCTTTTATTATGTTCTCCTTTACCTTTTCTAAATCTTTCTGATATTGTATTGCGAACTCTCTGGTCCCTGGCAGAAGTTTATGTACTCTATCCGGGTTCAGACAGTCTATAGGTCTGCGAGGACTCCATCCCAAATGCAATTCCATTGGAGTTCTGCAAGTAGTCAAAGTGTACAGAGTTGCTGTAGGCACTAGCAACCTTGGGCAAATGTTCATCCTAGTGAATCTGGTCAGGACGAATGTACATACGCAGCGTCTGTTGCAGGAGCTTGTTCATTTGCTCAGACTGCCCATTTGTCTCAAGGTGTCGGCCTGACGACATCGTCAGTATAGAGCCATAGACACTCATTAGTTGTTGTCATTGTTCACTGGTGAATCGAGAGTCTCTGTCACTAACAATAGTTAAGGGATGACCGTAGTCATTTACCCAGTGATTAAAGAATTATCGAATTACTAAATCAGTTTGAGCTTCCGCAGGTAATGCTACAAAAACAACAAACTTGCTGAACTTATGAACAATTACCATGACTTGGCTTTTCCCATTCCTGCTTTTCACCTGAGTGTCCATGAAATCTATAGACACAGAGTCTCCAAGACCTTTTCGGATTGGCAAAGGCTTCAAAAGACCAAGGGGAGACTGTGTGGTGCTTTTGTTTCGTTGGCACACTTGACAACCTTGCACATATGAAATGCAATCAGGTTTCATACGAGGCCAGGTGTAGGAACGTAAGAGATTAGCATAAGTCTTCTTCCATCCGAAATGGCCTTCAGTATCGTGGCATTCCCCCAGATTACACTTTTGATTTCTTCCTTGTCCGGAATACAAAGCTTATCATGCACATCGGTTCTTTCAAACAACAGTCCTTGGGTTACTCGATAGTTAGGAAACTCTTGTGGCGCTTCTTGAACACGTTTCAGCACAGCGCCATAAACATGATCAGTGGAATAAGCATTCCTAATCTTATCTTGAACATCAGTGCCTATGCCCAAGTAGGTTACAATAGTACCGAAAAAGTCAGATCTTCGACTTAATGCATCAGCAACAACGTTATACTTACCCTTTACTAGCTTTAGTTCAAAATCATATTGATCGATTTCCGCAGCCCACATAGCCAGTTTAGGGGTCATTCGAGCCTGCGTTTTCAGCCAGCGGAGTGTCTCATGATCTGAGTACACTTTGAAGTGGCGACCTAGGAGATAATGACGCCAATGGTCCAAAGCTTCCCGGAGAGCGTACAACTCTCTTTCGTACGTAGAAGCGGCAACCTTCTCACTAGGCAGTCGTCGGGACATAAATTCGACATGCCTATATCCATTCCCATCATCTTGCTGGAGTACAACGCCTATCCCATATTGACTGGTGTCGGTAGTGACAACAAAAGGCAAAGAAGGATCAACAACGTTCAAAACCAGATAATTAATCAAGTATTTCCTTAGACGCTTAAATGAAGACGTAAAGTTTTGATCCCATTTCCGAATTTACGATAGTAGTTAGCCAATCCAAGGAACGATCGCAGTTCCGTCAATGTACATGGGTTAGGCCAATCTCGAATAGCTGCAATTTTTGCATCCTCCGGTTTAATTCCATCTCCGTCTATAGCATGCCCCAAATATAATACTTGACGCTTTGCCCGCTCACACTTTTTAGGGTTCAATTTCAGTTTTGCCTCACGCAACTTATTTAGCACAAGTCGAAGGTGCTCACAATGCTCACTGAGACTTTTACTGAAAATCAAGATATCATCTAGATATATAACAACAAATTTATTGAGCAAGTCACAAAATTGTTTAT